TCTTTTACAGCTGCTTGATATAAGTGCATGCCACAAACTTACATATGCAACAATTCATTCTGTAGCGACTTCTTGCCCTCAATTAGAGTCTTTAGACATGTCAAATTGTTCGTGTGTTAGTGATGAAACATTGCAAGAAATAGCTCGCTCTTATTCTGTTCTCTATGTTCTGAATTCGCCATATTGTCCTAACATATCTCTTAAGGTCATCTTTTTCAAATGGTTAATTTAGTTCTAATTAGTGTCGCTTTCTGGTTAAGCCATATTTTGATGCATTTTCTTTCTATGAAGTCTGTAAGACTACCAATGTTAACGGTTCTTAAGCTTGACAACTGTGAGGGTATCACTTCGGCTTCAATGGGTGCAATAGCATACAATTATATGTTGGAGGTTTGAATCATTTTTCTCTTATATATTGTTGCTACCTAGGTGTTTTTTCTATTAGGAGATGTAATTTGCTCGTTCTCTTAGGCAGAGTAAAATAAGGGCATTAACATACTATTCACTTAATCAGGAGATGGAATAATCTCGGTTCTGCGATTACTTGTTATATGATGTAAGTGCTTAATTTTAATTTTAGTAAAACATAATATATTTAATCATCGTACTTGTCTATGTTAACATCAAGATATGTCAGGTAAAAGCCGTAAAAATGTTTATTTGGTAACTGCTAATAGATAAGAAAAAATCTATTTGTTTCCTCATTTACTGTTGAATTTGTTGTCAATCACTTCGACAGTATTCCTATGATCTTCTGTTGCAATATTTGCATAAAATGCAATCCATTACAATGCTTGGGGTCATCAATGAACACATTAACTTTCAAGGTGATGCCATTTTCATTGTTCATATATTCTGCATGTTACGTATGTAAAAGAGGTGTTGTTTGACTATTGTTTTCTTTGTTTCCTTGCAGTTCTTCTGGACAGCCCAGTTCTATTTCTGATGATGCAGAGGTTGTAACACTTATTGAAAGCTGCCAGGATGCAACTAATCAAATAAACCAGAAAGAAATATATTGTGAAGTGAGTTGTTGAGCTGGTCTTATAATTATATATGGATTTAACAGATATAATTCTCCTTCCATTAGTGAAAGTAAAAGGGTTCCTGCTGCCATCAACTCTATACTGAATCCTATTTGTACTCCACTTAAATACGCATTTGCATACTTGTTCACATATTTCTAATATTTTTTTTAACTTTGAGCTTCTTATACTTCTCATAGTTGCTTGAAGATTACCTAGAAGAACGCTTGGAGAAAGCTGGAGGTTTGCTTTCTGATTCTGAAAAGACAGAAGAAGAGAACAAAGAGGGGGATGTAGATGAGACTATGGTACTTTTTGCTGTAAAAGGTCCTGTAACAATTCATTGTATTCCTTCAGCTTTTGAATGAATATATTTTACTTTTGTTAGTTTTTAGATGTTCAAGTTTACTGTAGTAGGATTATGAAGTTGCTGTGTGATTAATGGATGAATCAGGTTTTTGTTTTTTAATTTGTTTTATATGTTCTTGTATCGACATATGATTACAATATTTTTGATAACTTAATGTGAATATATTGTATGCAAATGGACTGTTTATATATAATATGATATATATATTTAGTATTATGAGGCATTAAATGTGATTTAGTTTGATTATTTGTCAATCTACAATATATATAATTTACGAAATACAATCACGACACACGAATGTGTGTCATCTTCATTTATGACGGGGGTTTCAATGACACGCAATGTAAGTCATACATACGTGTCATAAATTTATGACACACAAATGTGTGTCATTTTCATTTATGACGGGGGCTTCAATGACGCGCAATGCGCGTCATAAATGTGCGTCATAAATGTGCGTCATAAATACACGTCATAAATGTGTGTTATAAATGCGCGTCATAGATTTATGACGCACAATTGCGCGTCATCTGATATTTATGTCGGTGGCTTCAATGACGCGAATTTGTGTGTCATCTGCACCCATAGATGACGCGCATTGCGCGTCATTAAAGGGATTTTTTCTAGTAGTGGTTGAAATTGATGAGATATTCTTTCACTCGTGCGCTTTTAAGGAATATCACTCCAGGTATTTGAAAGGTTTACCATAGACAACTCTTCGTTCGAGATCTTTCCCATAAAATAGACTATAATTTATTTTTTATTTAAGTAGTTCTATTATAAAAGTAGAAGTATTTATAAAAAAAGGGAAATGAAAATATATACATACAAAATATATACATTTACCTTGAAGAATGTATAAAATAATTGCTAGTACACAAAACAAATATAATATAATATGTGGGTTAAAATAAATATAAGAAATACCATATATAACATACATATGATCATGGAGATTAAAAATGAACAAATAAATAAATTAACAACCACGTTAACAACACAAATAAATATTTAATACGAAAACACCAAAAAATCATATAGTAACATGCACTGTTTAAACACCACAATTTAAGTAAAAACAATACACATATATACATAAAATTTATTACATATTCATGTATTTAATAAATATAGAGACTGAAATTAGATGAATATTAAATATAATTACTAAACATTTGAAAAAAATAATATAATTAAGGACTAGATAAAAAGAAACTTAAACACAGTTTCAGCATATAAATAATTCACTAAATATCCATTAAACTAAAACAAGGACTAAATTAAACACATAAAAAATTAATAAGCGAAATCATGCATTTAACCAAGGGAATAATGACTCAAATAAAAGAATAATGAAATTTGAGGTTCGAAATAAAAAATAACTTGTGTTTCATTTAAGGACTAAAATGAAAACTTATAAAACTCGGATGACCAACAAAGGGGTCATCCCATGTGCAAGAGTTTAGAAACCCTTACCCAAAACGACTAGTTTTGCGATCCCCATAAATACCATTTTTTTATTTTTTTAAAACCTAGCTTCATTTCCTCCCTTCACTCGCATCTCTCCTTTCTTCTTCACTCTTTTTTTTTCTTTTCCAGAAAATTGGTCGAGGGCTCTCGTCAGTCACCGCTGTTCAACTTTGACCACCGTTTTTCGGCCGATGGAGAAATAAGAGAATACCACCGTTTGAAAGCTTTTCTCACATTGAGTAAGGCTTCGGACTCTGTTTGGTCCGAAAATGTCTCCAACGACGTAGATCTAAGGAGATCTTTGGACTCCGAAGGACTCCAAAACAATCCAACGAACGATAATGAAGATGAGTCATTCTCTCTCTTTTTGTTTTTTTATTGTAGTTTTGATGGCAAGAACCCTTTTTTTGTTTTTGTTTTGAAATATCTCTTTTTTTCAATACTTATTGTCCTTTTTGATTTTTGGGGAGTGGGTGGATTTGATTATTATTTGATTTGTTTTTGTTTTTTTATTAGGGTTGATTGATTGATTTTTTATTTTTTATTTTTATGGTGGTTATAGTGATGATGGTGGAACAAGGGTTGTACGGCACCATTGACCGACGGCGGTGTGCTCTGAAAACGATGGTAGGAGCATGAAGGCTTAGGGTTAGGATTATATTAAGTTATGGTTAGGTTAGGTTTTGGGTTGGTTTGGTTTGGTTTGGTTTGGTTTTGTAATTGAGCTTCAGTTTGGGCCTGCAAAAAATATAAATAATAATAATAATAATAATAAACACCAGACAAAAAATGATGTCAACAGTCATCAAATTATTTTTTTGAAAATCATATATAACAAAAATTATATAATTCTCGAAATAAACAAAAAGGAAACGAAAGATGAAACATAAATCATGGATCAACTAAGCCCTTTTAAGGATTTGCTTAAGAATAAGAAAGAGGAATCTCATGTAAATACCATTGAATAAGGTTTGATCCTATTCATGACGGCGGTGTGCTCTGAAAACGACGGTAGAAGCATGAAGGCTTAGGGTTAGGATTATATTAAGTTATGGTTAGGTTAGGTTTTGTAATTGAGCTTCAATTTGGGCCTGCAAAAAATGTAAATAATAATAATAATAATAATAATAATAATAAACACCAGACAAAAAATGATGTCAACAGTCATCAAATTTTTTTTTTTGAAAATCATATACAACAAAAATTATATAATTCTCGAAATAAACAAAAAGGAAACGAAAGATGAAACATAAATCATGGATCAACTAAGCCCTTTTGAGGATTTGCTTAAGAATAAGCAAGAGGAATCTCATGTAAATACCATTGAATAAGGTTTGATCCTATTCATGAGGATTCTGTAAATATTCTATTCCAAAAATAGAAAGTTTGAAACAATTGGGATTTTTTTGGCGATTGGATGCAATTACTAATCCATGATCTGGAATGTACATAATGAAAACTTCATTCTTGATTTTACGAGAATTTTTATGAAAGCCTTTCATTTGTTTGTCTTCGAGGGAAGTTTTATTTTCCCAAACTGTATCCTAATTTTTGACCTAATTCTTCTTCTGATGATCGATTCAATCTCTGATGAAAAAAATATATCTTGGTTATATTTCATCTCTTCAACAAGTTTAGTAATGAACATAACGACCTTATTGTTCCGATGAAGAGAAGAGCCTAATATTAATTTTTCAGAGAATTTCCAAACAAACAATTTCAGCGAAATCTTTAAATTTTACGTTTTGCTTCTTTCTTTTATCATCTATTGTTTAGAAAATTATAATAATGTTGATCATCATAAAATAATATCATGTAATTATTAAAAAAAATGTAATGTTAATCTATTTATTTTTAATTTTGGGTGACTAAAACAGAATTAAAAATATTATATTAAGTATGATTTTAAAAAAATTGGATATTAAAACTAAAATAAAATAATAGTTGGATGCGTTCTAGTTTTTGCTTTTTGGTTCACAGTGCTTGTTTTTGTTATCTTATGTAGCACTCTTTTACTCCAATTTTTTTGGGAGGTTTTTAATTAGGCTCATAAGTTGAACTTGAACTATTGTTTTAATTTAATAAATTGTTCTTGCCGAGCAAAAAAAAACTTATTTTAATCAAGTATGCATATAGAGAGAAAAAGAGTTTGTGCACTCATTTCACAACCATATGTTTACAAAAAATCAAAAATAAACGACTTACGCACCAAACATTTATAAGATATGGTAAGCGATATAACCCTTTTCACTCATCAAATCCGCAGATTCCAATATCACGGCCTGGACTTAAATTCAAGAACTCGTTCAACTTGTAATTACCTTCTTCTCCACCATTACTACTACTCTGCAATAACAGCAACGCCATGTCCGAGTTACTATCATTACAACATTCATCACCACCATATCTGATCTCTTGGCTCAGTTGACAAGCTACGAACTTGTCCAGGGCTCTCCAGTCAGTCACTCTCTCGGTCTCGGTGTTGTCGTACAATACACGTTTCTTCTTCTTTTGCTGCTGCTGAAACTGATATTCCTCGTCTTCTTCTTCTTCTGGTATCAGAGATATCGAGTTCGGTCTCTTTATTAATGGAAGAGAAGGGCTCTTCAGCTGAGGAAGCTGAACGAACTGATCACAGTGGACGAAGAAGTTCAAATTATCCGCCTCTATCTCTTGCTTAAACATCATATTAGGAGCCAAAAAATTCTGGGGCTGTTGCCTCGAAATGTAATCGATCGGATCCACAATAGTGCTGATGCCACTCGATTCATCGTAGAAGTAGCTCGGGATCCATTGCTCGATTGTCTTGTTTTGACTAGTGGTGCTGGTTTTCTTTTTAAACGCTCGACAAACCACCCATCCTTCCTCCTGCAAAAAGATAAATTCAAAGCTATTATAGCAATCAATGGAGAAGAAACAAGCATGCATGTTAACTTTTGACTTAGGGATGGTGGAATTCATTGTTCTAGAGATGATCATATAAATTTTGTTGACATTTAATTTTTGTGTGGAAAGTGAAAGTTGATTATTCCTTTTCCTCGTATAAGTTGAATAGGTGGCAAAAATGCAACTATAAATCCTTGAGAAACACCATCTAAAAGTTCGAGGCAGGCCCTAATCATCCCGTCTTTTCTTTCGTGACTGATACGTATTAACGACATTAGTAAGTTCGGGTCAAGAAAAACTACTCAGAATGTTGGACGACCATGAAAACATTATATATAAACACACCTTTTCATTTTATTAACGACATGATATTGTGTATTGAAAAGTAATTAATGTATATATATGTATGTGCTCGCCTGTGGGGGTCCATTCTCGTCGGATTCAAGCCTGTATTCATGCATGATCCAATCAGTTTTCTGACCAGTTGGAGCTCTTCCTTTGTAGAAAACCAGAGTCTTTCTCATGCCAATCAGCTCTGATTTATCATAAACCGCCTTGTCTCTCCCCGTTGCTTTCCAAAAACCTGCCATGGTTGCTCTATTGGTTTTGGTCCCCGTCGGATACTTCTTATCCTTGTGGCTGAAGAAATACCACTCGCTTTGCTCCTCGTACCCGATCCGACACCTCTCTGCATTTATATATATATACCGATTAATAGCATCTTAGTGCATCCAACCCTAAACCCTAACTTGAATATGAAGAAATGAGCTTACAGAAAGAGAAATCCTAATAGGATTGAATTGTTGTACCTTGAAGGTCCCATGGTTCGATCCTGTAGAGATCGATGTATCTGATAACGTCGAGATCAATCTTCTTCGACGTGACTTTCTTCCTCAGATAGTATCCGACGAGCTCTTCGTCAGTCGGGTGGAACCGGAATCCGGGTGGGACACACGACTCCATTGATCACTCTGATATTAGCACCAGCAGCACTAGACCACTCTTTTATAACTTCATCATCTCTAAATCATTACCAATAAATGAAAACTTAGAAAAGATAAAGAAAGAATAATGGAAGTCTCTCCAATTAAAAAGGTGACAAAGCGTTTATCATGATGATCGTCAGCTACTAGGCTATAGCTCATTTGGTGATCTGTAGTGATTAACACTCAATAGCCTCAACCCCATGTTTATCTCTCTCTTGGAAACAAAATTTAACGCGTGATATATGAAACTAAACCTATTGTTTTCATAGATGATAACCAGAAGATGTGAAAAAAGGCTAAAAGGAAAAAAGAAGACTCACGAGAATACTTGGAACGGACATCTAGATGTTTGTGCTAATGATGTTCTCTTGTGTCGGTGAATGGTGGAAATGATGTAACAAGAACGGGGGTTTAGATTACTAGACTATTATAAATAAAAATTGGTTGAATTATAGTTTTGGTCCCTCTACTATCCTCATGTACTTCATTTTAATAGAATTTGACCCCTTTAGTCCTATAATGTGTGTTAACCATTCACACTAAAGTGTTGTAGAATATATAGAAACTCATCGAGAGAAAGTTTTTAATTAATTAAAGTATTTGAAACAAAAAAAAATTACTTTTTGAAAAACATAAAAATTAATCAAAGAACACATATAAGTTAGGGATATTGAGTTGTTCCATGACAGATTAGAGAGTTTAATGGAGAAAGGTGGATGACGTTATCACAATTAAGCACGCGTTCGTTTCAGAGCCAAAAAAGGAAAATGATTTGTTCTTGAGAGGCAGTTTTCACTGGATCAAAGCCTGACAAAAGTGAAAAATGAACGGACTCCACTTGCATTTGCAGTTGCAGAAGTTTGTGTCCCACTGCAAATGAGGGGACTCTGTCAACTTTGTCTGTTTGTCGAGAATTTTCATAGCACGGCTGACCCTTCTATTTCCTTCGACCCCAAAACGAGAAAATATTTGCAGGGTTTTTCTCTTCTGTAGTTTCCAAAAGCTTCAAATCAAATTAGAAGCACGACCCTAAATTATGGGTTATTTTTTTGTTGAACAAAAAGAAATAACTCAATCTCCATAGTGAGCTGAAATTATGTATAACTGGTTAATGGTTAATGTTAGAATGTGCTGAATGAGAAAGAACCTTACACAGAAACATCCAAAACTTGCAATCTAGGCAAGACAAACAAGTGACATGACACAATACTAAATCAAACACTTTTGTTGGAAAATATCAGTTTTTTTTTTCATGCAAATATAGAAGCTTACCTGGATATGAAGTTAAGTAGTGGTGGAGTTTTAGTTAATTATTGGTTTTGATGAGTTGAGATATAGAAGAAATGAAGAAGAAGACGACAGAGATGAAATGAAAAGGGACAGGAAAGAAAAATGGAGAGACAAAAGAGGGAGAGAGACATGAAGAGAATATAAGAAGGGAGGGGAGGACCGCTCGATTGCGCATGGTTGATGGCCGTCCCCATTTGGCTTACGTCAATGCATAGCTAACTTGCTATGCTTTTCTTTTAGGTAAACAACATATTTACGTGGATTTTCATTTTGGTTTCGTTTTTTATTATCTAATTATTTTTTAAGTTCATTATTAAAGTTATGATTTGATTTCATTTTAATCTTTCGTAATAACGATGATGCTGATGTGTTAACATAAAATAATATCATGTTATTACTAAAAAAAAAAAGTCATGTCAATTCAATTCAAAACGAAACTAAAATGATAATTGAATGACTAAATATATAATTTATCATTTTTAATCTTTCTAAACTAACGTATACTTTGGTTTTACTGTACTTATTCTCAATTTCAATTCAAATCCATCTATTTTGTATATATTACTAGCTAACGCCTAACAATATAAATATCTACCATATACACGTAAATTATAAGTACATGATACATATTTGAATGATGATCATTATAATAAATTATACAACATATAATTGAATTAATAACCAAAATGTTTATAAATTTAGATAGAAGTAATATATAATAGGACTAAAACTATAATAAAATCTGAAATCGAAAATTCCTACATGATGAGACTTATCATCTGTAATGGTATAATTATGGTTTTACTCCCTCTACTGTAATGAAATTTGGGATTTAACTATCTAGTTGATTTAGCATATTTTGGCCCTCTACTTTTTATGATTCTATTAGCGGTTTGAAATTGACTATAGCATTAGTTGTCTCATATTTAAATAGTAGTAACCTTATTTGTCAATCAAATGTTTAATGTTTTTCTTTAAAAACGTTAACAAAAATAATTAAATGTTATCACATTAGATCTGCTAATATAAAAACAAAGATTAAATTTTATCAAATTAGTGTAAATTGATTAAATCACAAACATAACATTAACAACTTGTTAATTATATATTGATCAACACCAGAGATAGTTAGCATCCATCTTGTTAGCCTCAATACGAGGATTTATTTCCATCGTATCTATTATATTCTTATATACTAATATTTAACTTTGCATTATTATTATTTTAGATTATTTTACGAAACCAAATAGATTGTTAACATTTTAGAGTATTATGTTATCATGCTATTTTAATAAACTCCATTTTTACGCTCACTTTCGTTTCAGACACCATCCATATAGATTTAACGGCTGTTAATACTGTGGCACTGTGCTATCTAAAATTATTATAATAGGATCATAATAATACATGTTATATCCACAAACCATAATACAATAAAAAAAATATAAAATATAACTGTCATCACAATTCAAATTTATGAGAAGCCACGTTGGCATATATAACCAGAGTCTCACGTGTTGCCGCCAAAGGACTACTTGTCCAGGATGTCACTCTTTTCCCTAGCTGTTGTCTGCTCTCAGCTTCCGACCTCATGCTTTCTGTAATTTACCAAAAACCCCTTTTAGGGAATAGGGATATTCAAGACATTTGCTAAAAGAGGCGGGAGCAGTTCGAAGACGTCACTTTTAGGGATATTGCAGTCATTCCAAAGAGGGATTAGGGAATTCCAATGACAAGTACTTGCGAGAAGGAAGGGGATTGTCACCGGAACGGTGGACTAATATACGGTATTACCGGATATATTAAAAGATATTTGATAAATTTAGTTTAGCGCTATCAAAAATATCGAGTAATAATAATGTAATAGGTGGAAATCATGAAGAAATATTAAAAATTTTGGCAACCGACAAACTTAGCTTGTCGGTTTGTGTCAATACTTCATAAAAATATATTGATCCATAACAATATAACAAGTAAAAAAAATAAAAAAACCGGTCTATAAATGACAAAACAGGTAAAGCGCTACCAGATATATTGAAAGTGACGATACTTTATAAAAATGTATCTATCCATAACAATATAACAGGTAAAAAAAATGACAAAATCGGTCTATAAATGACAAAACAGGTAAAGCGTTACCGGATATATTGAAAGTGGATACTTTATAAAAATGTATCGATCTATAACAATATAACAGGTAAAAAAATGACAAAACCGGTCTATAAATGAAAAACAGGTAAAGTGCTACCGGATATATTGAAAGTGTCGATACTTTATAAAAATGTATCGATCCATAATAATATAACAGGTAAAAAAATGACAAAACCGGTCTATAAATGACAAAACAGGTAAAGCGCTACCGGATATGTTGATAGTGTCGGTACTTTATAAAAATGTATCGATCCATAACAATAAAACAGGTAAAAAATGACAAAATCGGTCTATAAATGACAAAACAGGTAAAACGCTACTGGATATGTTGATAGTGTCGATACTTTATTATAAGTATCGACACTTTTAGAATTTAAAAGAGAAGAAGTTATAGCGCTAATAAAGTGTCGATACTTTATAAAAATGTATCGATCCATAATAATATAACATGTAAAAATATGACAAAATTGGTCTCGAAATGACAAAACCGGTAAAGAGCTACCGGATATGTTGATAGTGTCGATACTTTATTATAAGTATCGACACTTTTGGAATTTAAAAGAAAAGAAGTTATAGCGCCAATAAAGTGTCGATACTTTATAAAAATGTATTGATCCATAACAATATAACATGTAAAAATATGACAAAATCGATCTCGAAATGACAAAACCGGTAGTAAAAATGTGTGCTTGATTGATTATTTTTATTTCAGAATTTTCATTTTTTTAATACAAAAAGTTGGATATTTTAAGCAAAACCCAGTAAGAAAATAACAAAAACTTTGCAGTAACAAAAGAATAACATTGGGAAACCCACCATGTTATCAGTTTCTCAAAGAACAAAAACCCAGAAACAAACATCTCTCAACGCAAACTTATGATATACTCTTATTATCTCCATAGGATAAAGTTAGGCCAGTTTTAGTTTCTTAAATAATAAACTTATGATTGAAGAACTCAAATTAGTGCACGCATAAGTGTCGATGCATTTATGAAAAGTATCGATTCAAAAAAATCAAAACCGATAATTATTATGTAATAGGTAAATTTACAATGTAACCGGTAAAAATATACTGGTTAATTAGCAAATAAGTTTACATTATGTATCGACACTCTTTAAATATGTGTCGATACTTTTTTCCCAAAATGAAAGCACAACGAAGTGCACACATAAAGTGTTAATTGTATCAATCCCAAAAACATCAAAACCGATAATTATAATGTAATAGGTAAATTTGTAATGTTACCGGTTTAAATATACCTATTTAGTTAGAAAATAGGTCAATATAAGCGCTACCTATTACATTATATAAGCGCTTCCTATTACATTATAAAAGCGCTACCTAATATATTATTGTATTTGATAATATTTCCGGTTAAATGATATAACATAACCGGTCTAAATTTTAACCGGTCACACCATTTTTTAGCCGTTTTTTAGGCGCCACACAGCAGAATCACCCGGAAGGAAGAGGAACAACAGAGAATTCATGAACGTCACGAAACACAGTGAAACCACGTGGGGGAACCAGTGACGGATCCAAAAATTTAAGATTGAGAGTCTAAAATTTTAATTTTCTTTTTTTAAAAGTCATGGGTATGCAAAAATTATAATTTTTTCTTTTTTCCTTAACATATTAAACTAAATTTAACTACTTTTCCAAAATAATGGTATGCATTTGACCCCTAGGGACTTAATGCATCCGTCACTGGGCAGAACCCCATAGGTAGGTTGGCATCCTTCTTTACGTAAAAGATAAACCATGGGAATTACAAAAGTAATATACATGGTTTTCAGAATCGGACC